GGAATTTTAACAAAATAAAAAGAGAAAAAGACATCAAGCTCTTACGCAATTTCGTAATTCAAATTTACAAAGTCAATGTTTGCAGTAAGAAGATACTGTTATTTATTCTTGGGTACGTGAGATTTGTACAAATATTTCTAAAGAATAAACGAAAATGTGTCTTAAAGTAGACGTAAACATAAAACTGTTATGTAATAAAAAATCCGAAACCCGGCACTGGACGTACTGAAAATGTCACCTTAATCATAGTCGAGTGGTGGATGACCTTCGCCGACCGTTAAGCCTCATCTACTGCCTGGATCTACTTTTTGAGGTCGCCACCAGGTGGTGAGGGACCTTGAAGTTCGACGTTGTATACACACTAACAAGGGAATGGTAGCAACAAACATGATGTGATGAATTAGGACAAATAAATGATGGATAGTGGTACTAGGAAGTCCTTCTGGCAATATACACTACATATGCGATCAACGAAGACGAACTGTACTGGCTTTACAAGACCTCATCTTTCCTTACGTTAAAGTGTGTCTTTGTTGATAGTTCGTTAACTACTTCGGCGCTACTTAGAACATGTTACTTAGTGCGAATGTACCTTCTATTTTTATGGTGGAATTGAAAAACGAAATTAATTTGCGTCGCCCAATCCTACGATGGAAAACAACGCATGCTATTAGCGCGGGAAATGCAACGGTATGAGTACACGGTTACGAATAAGAAATGCGTGTATTTATTTATTACTCTTCTCTTGTTCTGGGTCCTCAACAGGCTTGCGCCCAATTACAGAGTGACCCGCATAATGCTTTTTAGAGGTGCCCCTGAGAAGGTCTTAAGTTGTTCTATACTACTCCGGTATTTACCTTACGAATTAGGAAAACCTAATTCGGAGTAGCCGGCAGAATGCTCGAAACTGGTCTAAGATAATTCCCATCTCTGCCACAGATGAAAAATTCACCTCAACCCAGGTTCGAACACCCGACCTCCGCATTTATAGTCCAACGCTCTACCACTGAACCATAAAGCCGGTATTGCAATGAACTTTGCTTCTTCGTCGCTCATCCGAGTTTTTTTTCAGTTCTTCGTCTTGTTCACGCGACCCGCTTGGAATTCTAGTCTTTCATTAATATAGCAGCACCCCTAACTTCCTTGACGTTTTTTTTTAATTTTGAACCGCACGAATTAACTCTCCCGAGCACCTCCCATCGAAGGCGAAGCTGGCGAAATAAATCCCCAACCTTATCCTTGTGCAGTCAGACCGTCGGTTATTTTTCTGGACCCAAAGCGTCCCATGCACTCTTTAGTTTAGCCGCTGCTTCGTAGAAATTCGTTCCGTTGTCTAAATGAAGAACATTTGGACATCCTCCTCTATTAACGAATCTTTTGACCCCCATCAAACAACCGTCCGTGAACATCTCGTTTATTAGATTCAAATGCACTGTCCTCACCGACAAACAATACAAAATTGTTCCATACCATTTCCAAAATTCTTGGTACATTCCACCACGCTCCACCACCGTTTTTTTATATAGTCTTATGAAGGAGAACCAATCCGCGGGATTTCCGTAGAATAAAGGTAGTTCTTTCCCATGTACCATCCTACTACATAGTAATTTGGCTGTACTGCAATGTTTTTGACAATTTCTGTTAGCACATTGAGATTTTTAGTTATATTTTCTCCTATGGTAGGTTTAGATACCCTCTTCCTCGGCTCTCGGTCCTTTGTGTGATGTTGTACCCAGTCTTTGGTTCTTTCTTGTAGGTCTGTGGTCTGTACGTCTTGTTCTTCTATAAAACTTGAAACACTACTTTCATAGACTCGCTTCGTGTCATAGATTCGACTTCTTACTCCTTACCCCTTACGCATTCTGATGATTTCCCTTTTCGTTTCCAATAATCTTTTTTTGTGTTTCTGCTTCGGATTCAGCCGCTCTTATTGCAGCTTCAGCTTTTCTTCTTGCAGCTTCAGTTTCAACTCTCTTCCTTCGCTTTTGAACTTCGATTTGTTCTTCCTATTCAGCTATCTCTAACCAAAGAATAAATATTATAATGATGATTGTGGAGAAATTGTATACCCATCGCATACCCAGGCCCTCCGGTGCTACGTTCGATGGGGTATTACTGAATACCCCCCAGTTACAAAGAGTATAATATTTATATGAGTATACGAATGGTCTCATGGTGTTAATGATTGTAGGGAAATGGTCATCGCATTTTCCTTTAATAGAGGTGGGGGGGGGGCTATTCTCTATGGCCTCTCTATTTTCAAGACTTTGGAAGCCTATTAAGGTTATTAACGCACTTAAAGTTCCTCAAAGATCCTTTAAAACTTCTGCTCTCGAGGACTTACAAAACCATCAAAAAGCTTAATGACTAGAACGGCCATAGGATTCTCCAAAGGCTTCTCAAGAAAACCATGAGATCCTTTGAGGCTCTTCCAGACTTTTTACGACTCTTGAAATCTTTCTCTCCACTTGAGTCTTCCTAGTGCACTCTTGTAGCGTCTTAAAAATCATTAATAGTTTTTAAAGATTCTTCACACTATTTTTGTTTCTCGATTTTTAGCTCATTTCCACAAAAATAAAAAAATGCGCTATTGTGGCCACTTGCACCTAGGAAGGAATTTTTTCTGCGTTTATTGCTAAAAAAGTTATTGTAAAGAAACCAAAAAACCGTTTTTTACATGTTCCATAATTTTACACTTTTGCAGTTTATTAACGATCCTAGAGATCGTTTCTAATTTTGTATTGCTGTCTGTCGTCTATCTGTTGGTCTGTCCGTCTGTTCCTTTGTCTGTCTGTCTGTCCCGCTGTCTGTCCGTGTAAACGATAACTTTGTTTAGAAATGTCAGATCGGTTTGACATCTCCGTTCGTTATTCACTGAATTAATTGCATGAAATTCAATATAGGCATGGCTTTAGCCATATAATACGCAATGCCAAAAGTTGAGTCGAATCGATTCAAAATTCACAATGCCCTTTTCGCATCTCGACCATTATCATATAGGCACTTGGAATAAATGAAAATCTAACGCTAGTTTCAAAATTTGGTTTTGTGCATGCACATTGCGCAGTGCCAACTTTTTTATCTATGGAAGCATTTAAATGAAATTTGATACATAGGCGGTTGGAACAAAGGAAAATCTAACGTTAGTTTCAAAATTTAGATTTGCGCATGCGCAGTTCCAACTTTCTTGTTTAGAAAAGCATTGAAATGAAATTCTTCTTATAAACTGAAATTGAAGTAGCACGTCAAAAATGGACTGCACATTTGCAATGCTATCTTTCATATTTGTGGCACTAATACTTACCGGTCGATTAAAGTAGAAAATCAAACGGATTTCGTTCGTTGGTCTACTGGCGTAAAGTTGGCAGGTCCCAATAAGTCAAGTGTAATTTTGAGGTGGTTTAGTACCTTTTTGATGCGGATCCCTTGCAGCACTAACATTCGAATGTGAATCACTAACGAGGCGCTTCAAATTGGCATTAGGACAGGCCCAATTTGACAAATGTGGGTCTGCTGCATGAAGTTAGCAGACCCCTTTTTACAACGTTTTGAGCTGTTACACTTTGAGCACTAACGTTTATATTGGCGGCACTAACGAGCACTAACGCTGCTAGTTTAACTAGTGTAAAGAGTGAATCGATTTTCTCAAATGGATCTGCTGGCGTGAAGTTAGCAGGCCCACAAATATTTTTCAAAAATAGTAAGTTTCCTTTTGTGCACTAACGATTTCTTCAGCGGCACTAACGTACACTAACGGAACACTAACGATATGAGTAAGCAGAACCATGGTCTGCTGTAGTAGGCCTGCCAAGTTCATGGTCATCGGATTTTTACGATTTTAACAGAAGTTGCATCTTAAAAATGGGAAATGAGTGCAAGTGGAAATGCCCTTTTTGTAAATCGTTTACGATTACTTTTTAACTTGCTCTCCTTTACATTTTCTTTTGTACTTTTCTTCTGTTCTCTCACTTCCTTCTCATCCACCTCTCCTGTTCTTTTATTCTCCATCATTAACCTCTCTTGTTTTTGTAAAATTCCTGAGTTGAGTGTGTTCCTGGATCCTTATAGAAATAAACAGCTCGCTCATGCAAGGTAACAAGGTCAGCAATGCTGTAGTCAATACGTGTTACCCGAGGGAAAAATCACGCTCCCCTCGATTTTCCGTGGTGTTCCTGTTTTACTCTCTACTCAATTCTGCTTAAATCAGGATACGTCTTACAACGTCCAAAACCTGGGCTCGTTGGTCTACCAAAGTTGAAGTCAGCACATAGATACGACAGTCGAAAGATTTAAGATTATCGGCTAAAGTAGCATGAACCTCCATCTGGCAGGAACGTATCAAATAGTAATAAACCCCTAAAGAGCGTCTAAAAAAGCGACAGAGCATCTCGGTGTGACCCTACGGAGTCATTGGATTTGATCCATTTTCAGTAGGCTTATTACTTGTGGCATATAGGTCAACTATACAAAGTTTGAACCAAATCGGTCCAAGCGTTTGATAGTTATCGTGTTCACGGACGGACACCTTCGACTCCCCTATAAAGCTTGCATCACTTTGCTCTGCCGCTTAATAAAGGGTAGTTTTATCCTCGACTCCATATGGGCCAGTTAATTTTGCAACTCTTTCCGCCATCCTTAACTCGAGTTCGCAGATGGCAACACGTTAATGTGTAGGAAACAATTTTTTTCCATTTTATTTTGTAACTTAATTTTGTCAGATATAAATCATACACACGCACACTTTGTTTTTCCACTTGTTATTCACAATTCGAGTTATTTTTTCTGTAATTGCCAAATACTTTTACAATAATAACTCAGGTTAGCACAGTTTTAATTGTGAAAATTAAACAATTTAATAATGATTGTTGGATATATGAGGTTTAATCTAAATATTACCTCACGATAAAACCCAAACGTAAGAAAAGTTTGTTGATAAACAGAGACAAATATAAAAGGACCAAGAAAAGAACACAAGCTTGTATTCAGCTGAGATCTCTAACATGCTTATTAAATTTTCAATTTTCGTCTTGTGCTCGGTAGTTGTGCTTGAGGGGTTGGAGTCAGCAGGTAAGACAAAATTAGCTGTTAGTTCTATATTCAAATAGTAGGTTCATATGTTTTAGTTTGGTAAGCTGGTGTTTGTAATATTTAGTTAGTTTATGATACATTAATTGCAGAACTCCACCAAAGGGCGGGAGATATAAATGAATTCAGAAAAAAAGCTTTGGAACGTCACAACTACCACAGAAGACGCCATGGTTGTCCAGAATTGGTACTAAATGACGCGGTAAGTGCCATACTAAGTAGATTGTTACCCAAACTTAGTACATAATTTCGAGTTGAATTCTTTTTTATTATCCTTATTGTTTGAGAATTGCTGAGAAAACCTCCGAATTTTTCTTAGAAATATTGTATGGACCTTCACTACATTAAAATCACTGTAGTTTTTTAAGGAACCTCAGCGTAAAGGAATAGTTTTCCCCAAACACCTCTTGTCTAAAAATTGTTGCTCCGTAAAATTCGCTTGATCCCTAAATATTGCACCTGGAATGTTAACATACAGAATACTGACAAAAAAAAACACTCGATGTACTCATCCCCAAAGAAATAGATTCCAAGTGTTTCAGGTAGGTACTTATTACGTAGGTTCCACGATTCTCAGAAAGCATTCCAAGAGTTTTGGGTATTCCAAAAATTGTAAGTGTACAACAATTTTTATGATGACCCTAAAATTATAAAATGTTCAGAGGTTCTTAAGTTCACAACATGCTGAATGTTTCAGATGGTTCAAAATTGCAAAAGTTTTCAACCACTCCAAAATTTCTAAATATCCAACAATTGGAGGTGGTCCAAAGATGGTAAAGGTTGTAAAAACCTTGATTACTATTAAGAGGAATAGTTGTTAATAGTAACAATAAACTATTAGGATATTCAAAAACAAGTTACAACTAAGACCAAAGTTTTAAAAAATTCCAAATATCTCAAGCGTTTAAATTTCGCACAAAACTATTACCTATATATTCACAAATTTCATATCTCGATATCGGTATTCCAATTTCAAACATTTCGCAGCCAAAATGCCGCCATCTTGCAGATTTTGGACTCAAAAGCGCTCTTGTTTGCTATCGCGGAGGTTTCCAAGCCCAAAATTTAAAATAAAAATTTAACTTTAAATTTTTTTCTCACGGTTGAAGCGACAGTGGGAAATGTTGGTGGGGACATATTGAGAATTTTTCCCCTCAATTGAGCAATTTCCAAAAAATATTTCCTCATTTCTTACTCTTAGTAACTTTTTCCTCTAAATTACAGATTTCGGCTCACGCGCAGGATTGGGCCTACAAAATATCGCTGGGAGAAGGCCTCCCGCATCGTCCAAACAATACTTACGGAGAAAACTTGTATTCCGCGTGGTCGAGCTGGACGGAATACGACATAACCGGGGACGTTGCTGTTGACAGTTGGTACTCTGAAATTGACAAATACGTATACGGCGAAGCTACACCACACAATTTCAACGACGTTGGTCATTTCACACAACTCATTTGGAAAAACTCAAAGCAACTCGGAATTGGTAAGATAGCTAAGAATGGAAAAGTATGGGTCGTGGCCAATTATGGTCCCCCGGGAAATTATGAAGGAGCATATGTGGAAAATGTTCCACGTCTCTTGTAGAACAATCTTGATGATTGTCTCTAGGTGAAGGATTTATTAGATGTTATAATATAAAACCTTCAAATGTATATTTTAGTATTATCATAGTAATAAATAAAATCGTTATACCTACTCGTCATTATCTTCCTGCATTGTTGCCAGGAACCTTTTTCGGAGGCCTAGTTACCAATTACAGTTTGTTGTTTCACAGCACTTTTGGGGCTCACTATATAGCTAGAGTTATTTCAGCAAAGAAATTAAAAATTCTAAAACAATCTCAAAGGAAACTAAGGTTCTGGCCATAAAACATCGTACAGTCCCGGCTCTCAAAACTCTTAGAAGAACTGAAAGATACTCTGCTCTCAGGGACTTATAAAAGGGCATAAAAGCTTAACGGAAAGACTATTAAAGCGAGAAAAGGTTCTCTAAAAAAGTCTGCAAAAATATTTTTGGAGATCCTTCAAGGTTGTAACGGTTGGATGCGATCTTAAAGTGTAGTAGGGATTTTGGTGACGTATGATTTTTGCCCGCAGTATGATTATTGGTTATCTTCGTGGGCTTTCGGAATTTTGCTCGATTCGAGACCATTGAACTATAAACAACGTAACTGGAAGGTAAACCGGTACCCGTGCGACAGAATGAGGTGGTGGTATAACTATTTCACTCACTCTCATCGCGCTCAGTTTGTCTATTAGCACGCCTGATAGAAGCAGAACTGTATAAATTTAAGTGAAATTGAAAAATTTGTCAATGAATTTAACGTTACTACTTTACTAGTGTAAGAGAGATCATGATACTACCACTAGTCTGGCTTCACTAATAATATAGTTGTCTCTCTTGCAGTTACGAGATGTTCGAGACATCCTTGTAGAGAATACAGCTGCAAGATGGCGACCTTGTAATATAATTGGCTCATGGAAGTTGTTACTAACGTTAAATCGGTTAGAAATCGGGACATCCATTTGGTTGGTTTGCAGAAAACAGATTGGGGATTCTTCGGATGTCGTTTATCGGAAGATTGAACTTTTTCTACATGATTGGGTGTATTTGGAAACACGGGGTGATTTTGTTGGTTACTTACGGAGATTGCAACAAGTGGCGCTTAGCTAATTTAATTTAGGTCACTCGTTTCTGCCTGGAGGTAAGAAATCATTCACCGACTTAAATCGTTATTTTTTTGTTATTTAACGTTTATTGAAAGAAACAGTAAACAGAAAAGCAGGTACAGTAAAAAAAAAGACATAGAGAAAATGTGCACCGTTAAGCTCAAAAGGGCGAAGTTCAGATTGGTAGTTGAAAACTCTACCATCTGTTCTTCCATTTAACCCTTGCTTATTTAAACGAAGTTCCTAGTCAGCTAATGATCGATATCACTTATGTGTATGAAATTAAAACTAAAAGAAGAAAAAGGCTTAGAGAGACCTATGTTACCTGAATTACAATCTCAGTTTTAAACACTCAAATGCGGAGCGAAAAAAGGCCTTTAAAACACACGTGCTTTAAAGTTGCTAAGTAATGATGCTTCAAGTATGACTTTTGAAACTGTCATCTGGATGAAATAAACAAATCCTCTTCGGTCGCTTTCTGTAAATGCAACACATTTCTTTGGCTTGTACCTATCCTTTGTTTGAAGTTTTCACAAACGCGCATGATTTAGGGTATGCTTCCGAATCTGTTCCATTTTTTAATGGCAGCATTGTTTGAAGTTTTGAATGAATCCACCAAAAGATAGAAGACTTAAATACCTTTGACATTTCTTTCATATATGCCAGCATTATCGATGCATTTCAGACTTTATTCGTAAGTATAACTTACTATTCATCCAAGGAAACAACTGTTCATATTCTTTATAATAGGCTTTACAGGATTTGGATCTACCAACGTTTGTTTAGATTTTACAACAAGCGATTTAATGGACGATGTATTACCTTTTTCAACGGAAATCGTTTTATTCACAGACGATGATTTTTATAAGCAAACGTCAAGTGACATTTCCATGGCAATCGGGCAATTACGAACACCCAGCCCACTTAATTAGACATGTATTCGAGTATAACGTCAATATAATTTCATTGTATTTCCTATTTTTAAATTATACTGCAGGTATAATAAAAAATATTATAAGATACACGTATATAATTGGTCTTTAAAGCACTTGCAACGTTAAAGACACTCCGCTTCGCGTCGTGCCATTAAACTCGTTCCGCGTGCTTTAAAGACTTGATTATACACTTGTATTAATAAACTGTTCGACAATTTTGTTCCTTAACTCAAATTCTCCCTATTTCCGATGTCAGACTAAGAATTGCAATGGTTTTTTTTCGACTTTTTAAAAACTAATTTGCATGATCAAAACGCCCCAGATACCAAATTTCGTGGTAGGAATTTTGAAAAATTGTTTGCAAAATCGGCAGGAGCGTACCCGAAAACCTATTTAACGACGTGCCATCGGTCTTTCTAACTCTTATGGTTGCTGAGAAAAAAATTAAAGAATCTTAAAGTTATTAAAAACGGGATGCCATATTCAAAATCTTCATTAAAAACTGTCTGAATAATGTGTTAATTAGAAATGTCTAGTACGATTAGTTTACCATGAAAAAATTAAAACCGAAAGTCAGAAATTTTCGTTTTTTTGCGATATTTTCAAAACTACTGAAGATATTTTAAATTTCCTTTCAGATTATTATTCAGCACGAAAATTTGCAACTTCGTCCTCATTTAACAAAATTTTTATCTCTTAAGATAAGCGAGATCCTCATAGTGGCACTCGAAAAATGAACACCGTGTATATCCATAGCTTGGGCTGAGATAAGAATTTCTTTGTAATATTTAGTTAGTCTAATGGTAGTTCAATTGCAGAACTCAACAAAAGGGCGGTGAATATAGTTGACTTGAAAAATCAAGCTTTCGTCTTCGAATTTCCCTTTACTGGGGGGTATTCCAAACCCCTTAAATTCCTGGGTGTCGGTATGGAATTCCTCCCAGGAAAATTCGAGAATTTCCTACAATCATTGACTGGGGGGTATTTATTTATTTATTTATTATCCCTCTTGTTCTAGGCCCTCAACAGGCTTACGCCCAATTACAGAGTGACCCGCATAATGCTTTTTAGAGGTATTCCATACCGAGACCCAGTAATTTGAGGGGTATGGAATACCCCCCAGTCAATGATTGTAGGGAAATGGTTCTAGAATTTTCCTTTACCGATTTCCCCCGGTTTTCTCCCCAAAAACGTCTGCCTTGGCACTGTCGTAAGACACCATCGAACGTAGCACCGGAGAGCCTGGGGGGTATAAAATACCCCCCCTATACGAACAGTATATTTCCATGATTATGAATGGTCTCATGGTGATAACGATGACGGTATGGAAATTATCATCGAGTTTTCCTTTCCTGGGGGATATTCCACTCCCCACCCCCCCCCCCCCCCCCGCGTGCATCCCCACTCTCATTACAGTTTTCGGTAACACGCCATCGAACGTAACACCGGGGGGTTTGGGAGGTACGGAAAACCCCTCGTATACGATGAGTATATTTTATATGGGTATACGAATGGTCTCTAGGTCATGATTATGACGATGGTAGGGAAATTCCTTTAGAATGCCCCCCGACACCCACCGGTGTCAAAACGTCATGGGAACTTTTTCAGACCCTAGACGACACTTGATGCCTTGTTCTTAGTTTTCAAGACTTCTAAAGACTAAGTGATTTCGGAAAAACCTAAGAACTCTGGAAAATTAACAAATTCCTTCGTTAGAAGCAAAACCGTCAAAGGTTTTCAAACTTTTTTAGATGTTACTAAAGCACTTTTTTCAAGACCACTTAATATTTGGCTCTCAAGTACTTACAAAAGCATAAAAAACGTAATGGCTAAACTATTAAAAAGAGACGAGATTCTCTACAGGCTTATGGAGGTCTTTTGAGGCTCCTCCATACTGTATACGACTCTTGAAATGCACTTGAATTCTTTAAACTTACGACACCTAAAAGACAACACAAACTATATTACCTTTGCGGCTCTTAAGTACTTTTTAAAGATACTCTTGTAAAATACACTGAAAACCAAAAAAAGAGTTCTCCGTTTGAGGCCTCTTAAAAATCATTAAATATTTTTAAAGGTTCTTCATATTATTTCTGTTTCTCTCTTCTGTACACTCTCTGTCGCAACATTTATTTTATTTTTCCCTTCCTCTTCGTTTACCTGTTTCAATGTTATTGCCTATTTAATACTCTCTTTCATATTTTTCCACTCCTCTATACTCCCTCCTATTTCTTCTTCATTTCCATTCCATGTATGTGTACTCCTATATTTCCATTTAAAATTCTCCATTCTCTTTTCCGATCATTCCAGTAACACTCCTTCCTCTTTGTTGCACTCTTTATCGCTTGTGTTTCTTTTCCTACCTCTCCCCATTTTCCTTTACTGTCTGCTGTCGCACTTAAATCTTTCCCTAATATTAGCCCCTCTTCGCTTTCATCTACCTTATTTGCTAGTTATGTTTTACATCTTTCACTTCTTCTCAGTTTAATATAGTTATAACTTTCATTTTCTTCCCCACCACTTGCACTCGTCTTTCCTGCATGCTCTCCTCTTCTTTCATTCTCTTCTCTTATCCCTTTCTTCTCCCAGTTCTTATCTTGTATTCATGATTCAACCATCCCCAACGACATCATACCCTTTGACAAACTCCTAAAATATATCGTCTTTACTTGCTACCCTCGCTACATTCCAGAACATAATTTTCATGTTACTCATCTCCATTTTTTTTTTGCTTTCTTCATTCCCTTCGCCTTCATTCTCCCTCCCCCCTCTTTGTTTATGTTTTCTCCCTCCAAACTCCGCATTTTTATCTCCTGCTCTTTTCCTTTCTGTTCTCGCTCGCCCTTTTTCTTTGATACCCCATCTATATTCTATTAATTTCCCGTATCCCCATCTTACTTCATTGATCTTTCCTCTTTCTCTCTCCACCACCTCTTTCATTTGTCTCTTGTTTCTTAATACGTCATCTATGTATACCCCC